CATTCACGTTCGGCCGTCAATAAAGGGGGTGCGTTTTCTTCTATTTGGACCTTTCACTCTGCCACCTTTGTATACGCAACGAATGTATAAATAACAATGCTTATGTTGTCATTTTTGAGCACAAAAATATGGTGAATTCATGGGAGAAATTTCCAATTTGGCGATACAAGTGAATAAATTGGGGAAAAAACCGAAACATATGGTGAACTTTCACAAGGGTGGGAGAAATTAATCAGATGGTGTGGTGAGAAAAGACAGAAAAACAATGAGAGACAATCGATAGAGAAATTCAATTCTCCTATTTATAGTCAAAGTAAGGGTGGTTGTAATGAAAGTTGGTTGTTTTTTCTCATACATGTACTATTTCTCCACGGGGGTTGTTAAGAGAAAAATAATTAATAGGACCCGCATAGACGGAAAAAATTCGATGACAATTTTTCTCTGAGCTCTGGAATTTTGGGGGAACCGCCGAAAAAGTGGAAAGGAAAGTGAAAAGAGCCAATTTTGTAAGCAATTAATTAGTACATTACTTACTATTTGCCAAAATAGTGTTTCCAACTAGTTTATTTGTGGCAGTGATGTTCCATTTACACAATAGTCCATTAAGCTTGAAGAGCGTTTTGAGTTTGAAGGCGATAGAGATGCTCTTGCAGAAATAGCATAATTTATTTTGATGAAATCTATCTGCAGTGTGGAGATCACATTAAAAATGACTGAGCCGTTACTGTGCAAAATGTAAATTGAGAAGCATTCGTATGTGCATTTTGGCACTCAAATATTTTATGGATTTTGAGGTTTTCATGCATAACGCGAATATCATTGTATACGAGGAGTTGCAATTTTAGTACAGAATTCTTCACTTTCAATTTCCCTGCAAAATCAACTGCGCGATGTGAGAAATCAATGACTTTAATGCAATTCCTAGAGCGCTATTGAAAAGTGAATGTTCTTCTCCTCCCAAGAATTCCAATAAAATCCTCCTATCTTCTTCTATTCTTAATCTCACGAACTCTGCTCTAAATCACATCAATGTCAATTGCATTCACTCACCAAATCATTAATGGATGCTCTAATAATGTTATGTACAGATTAATCTGGAAATTATGTTGGTGCGGTGTAAAACACATGCTAAAGCTGTTGATTGCATTTCATGTCCATTTCATTTATTGAATTTCAACTTTTCGCCAGACATATAAAGCTTCGGAGATGCAATTCTCCGAACTTATTCAATCAATCTTTCGACCTAGAGGGTGTATATATACATACATAGACCTACAGAGCTGTACGAAGTCCAATAACAATTATTTTCACTGAAGAATGGAAGAAAGTTGAAGGGAATTTTCTGCCAATTTCCCTTACTCTCTTATACTGTTCCAAACATTTAAATTTGCGATGGAAAAGTTACAAGTATACATAACAACATCCCTATACTCTTGCAAATACTCTGAGTGATGCCAGAAACTTCATTAAATCAGGCAGGAACAGGAATTTTCTCTATACTTTATGCTTCTCTTTCGCATACTAATATACTTATACTTATAAGATGGAAAAATACATACATTAAATATTAAGACATCTTGAGCTACCGGAAGCCAACATGTGTCAAAGGAAAAGTTAATAATAAGACGGAATTAACTGAAAATTAATTATATAACTTCATAAGTTTAAAAGTTCACTCCATTCAAGGCGGGTGAGGAGAACCGTCTGATCAACTCCTCGTTCTTTTGGCCAAAGTTCTGTATATATATGGCATAACAGATTGTGGAGAGAAAGTGAGCTTTCCGCTGGAAAAGCTCCGTTGAACCCATTTTCACGCTACGTCAAATGTAATTATTTGTCATTTCGTTTATCATGCTGAGCTTTTATGGAACTTGATTGAAAAATTATCCTTAAAAAACTCTCCTGCTCAATTGTTTTTTGTAATACATTTTGTGTGTAGATGATGCTAAATTTCCTCTTATTAATGACAAGAAGCCATGCAAATCTCATTCTGATTCACTCATCTCTTGATGGCGTAAATATAACATTGATTTTTTTCTTTCCAATAATATATTAGGACCAGATGAAATGCTGCAGAATTAAAGCAACTTAGGAATTGCCTTAAAAATTGCAGAGATAACGTTCAATTTTACCACGAAAGCACTTCAATTCTGATAATCCAGTTTAGTTTGTTTCGTGAATTGAGTCTTAGCTTTCAGCTATATATCTGTGGCTGTTTCGACAAAAGCTCGACTCTTGGGGTGATTTTCTCTTCTTCTAAATCAAATAAAATGCAATAAAATGTAACTCAATCAATGGCGAATGCGTGGAATGATGTAGAGTGAGAAAAAATATCAGCATTTCACACATATTGGGACAGCTACTTTAATAAATGATCTCTCACTTCAACATATCCGTCAAGTTGCGAAATTTAGGAGGGTATCGTTAGAGGAAATAAAGAGAGGGAGTGTATTTCTGGGCAATTGTGCCCATTTGATTGTGCTTTTTAACAGAGAAGGAATCAAAGAGCGAATGTAATAAATCAAAGTCACATTTGGCCATGCGATTATTGGAAATGGACCATCAATAATATAAGAAATGGGTGGGAGAGAATCGGACTTTTGGGATATTACCTTGAGGTTTGTTTATTCTGCCCACATTTGGGGATTTCCTCTGATCCTCCCTAGTGGAAAATGAGAGAGATCCTATAAAAAGGGCCAGTCATTTGGTCAATCTATGTACCACATAATGTATTGATGGAGACTGTCTTTTTATAGACGTGGAGTAGAGCTTTTCATTTCCAACGTCTCTTCCTTCCATTGAACATGGACAATAATTCGATTGATGATGAGATGATGGCGAAGGCTCTCTTGTTAATAGGATAAAATTTCTTTTGAAAAGTCCCAAAATTGAATGATAATTTCCGGAACAGAAATTGAAAAGTGGATGAAGGTGAAAGAGAGCTGTTGTTCAATAATTCAAAAGCTGAGTCACATTTGATTGATGTTCCCCAGTGAAGAATAATGTATATCAATTAGAAGATTGATAGTCCCTTCTCAATGCTAAACATTTAATATTACATCTATCATCGTTCTTTTGCTGGTGTCTTTTTATCACGTAGCCGCATTTTAATTTCTTCCAAGGGAAATCTTGATTTTACTGGTATTTGCGGAGAGATAGAATGATATAGCAAGAAACTAAACGAGGGAAATTACGGAGGGAGATAAAATCCACCCAATCTGGAAGGTAAATAGGACACGTGGGTAGAAAAATTACAGCAACACACACAGTGCTCAAGCAGTAATACCAAAATTTATATTTATTCGGGATAATCCTGGCGCAAATCTAATCCCAAATAGAATCCCTTGTGACAATGCGGCTCGTGCTTTTCTCCACTTTTCGCATCCTCATGGGGAATGACCGGGTCCAATCACACGACTGGCTGAATAGATTGCTTTTTCACTTTTTCTGTGAAGCAGGTTGTTTAAAAATTGAATTTCCCCCAAAGCATTTATTTTAGAGTATGCGTATAAAGATTATTAAGAGAAACATACTCGAGGAAATTAAATTATAACATTCATTTGACGCAAAAGTGTTTCGCAAATGTAGATTACCCACACATGAGAAGATGTAAGGTGCGTCAAAAGCTTTTCGAAAACACACTTGGCTTTGATGTGCAAAATTCTTGGTGTAATTGCAAGCAATGATCTCAGAGCGAAAGAGTCTTTATGAATAATTTGAAGAATCGAGAAAGTACGTCGTCTACAATCTACACTTCGTATGCGGTTTCTATTGTTAATAATTAGAAAACGTTTATTATTCCCCGACGCAAATATTTATTCATCTCTCAGGAAATTGCGAGCCATTAGATAGAACACTTTATTAATAAAACGCTTTGCCATTCTCATGTGGAGGAATTAAGTGATGAGAGCACATGCATAACTTGGCTGATATTGGCAATAAGTCTTGTTTTAGCTTTAAGAACGTACATATATGTGTGTAAAATGAAATAACGAGTCAACTTTATTCCTCCTAACATTTCCCCTAATCATTGCAAATTTGTTCGTTGTTAACATAATTGAATAAAATATCGCATTCAAGCTTGAGCAAAATTTCTATCTCAAATATCGACCATCTAAACAAACACACACGTGCAAGTTTCAAAGGAAACTTGTAATAAGTTAATTGGATTAAGTGCAACTTTTAGTGGAAAACTTATCATTGTCAATTAACGTGTGTAAACTTTAGTGAAACCTTTCTTCTATGGCTTCTCTTAACAAGCTGCAATAAACTAACTTCTGCAACAATGTTGGCTTTTTCTATTGATTAAACTATAGCATATTCATTATTATACTCATCCCATAGTGAAATATGACAGTTTTCTGGTTAATATAAGTTAAAAGATAAGCTAATTTTTCCCATAACTCAACTAATTTCTTCATTATATTCTTCAACGCGCATATTTTGCCCATAAAATGCACTCAATAGCGGACAAAAGGATGAAATGGAGGCACGAAAAGCTCTCAATACGCCAACACAATGTGATATTTCTGTTGTGAAAGAATTTTCATTATTAAATTTGTACTTGAAAATGAGGACGGTGCGTTGAGAGTGAAAAGCATCACGAGGTTTGGGGAAAATGTTGGAGTGAGAGTGGTTGTTGTGGAAACTTTTGTCAGAGAATTTTTCAATTCAGAATTAAGCGTTCTCTCCTTGTTCATAATATGGGCAATCAGCATGTATTCACTCAATGAAGCCTGAATATGCTTTTGTCGAGCATCTGCCATTATTCCAGTTGTTGGGGACTTTTTACACGTTAATTGAGAATTTCACTCTGTCGCATTAGTTGATGAAAATTGAATTGATAACACACTTCACTATATGCTGTGAATATCCTTGTGAATTTCACAACATTTTGCACTCTACTCTCATTAATAAGTGGTTTTTGTGTATCATATGCTCACATAGTATAATAATTAACTGAGGATTATATGTAATTGAGTTCTATTTCTTGCAGAATCTCAAGCTGGAGAATCCAACGAATAATCCTCGTCAATCCAGAGTGTCTGCAGGTGAGTTTATCTATGCTTTTTATTACACTAATTGATCCAAATAACTTATCGATAAGTCTACAAACAAAAGTAATCTTGCAACAATTAACATGAGCATACTAAAAGTTCCTAGAACTGCCGAAAGTTCTAATTTTGGGCAGAATAACTTTATTATAAAGACTCATTATCATGATGGCCTCTATGTAATTTAATTGTGGGAAACTTTCGTGTGAAAATCCCCCCTTTTAAAGCCACGATTTCAGATAAGGGTGCACACAGGGAATTGTTCCAAAAATACAACTCTCACTTTCTTGCTAAATCCACTGATGTGAAAATCGTGAAATTTTTACATTCTACACTCAAGGCTAAAAATAAATTTTGTACGTAATGCTCTCCATGTTTGCTTCTTCAGAGCCAATTGACTTAAAAATCAACAAGGGGTCGCGCTTTCCAGCCCCATGCAATGCAGGTGAAGCCTCGTTGGATGCTTTTTACCGCTTTCCTGGAGTGGTAAACGGTTTTTTATTCCCCGATAACTCTCTGTTGATACTTGTCGGCTGAAGAGTGGAAAAGCAGCATAAAAATCGCTTTCGGTAATTGAGTTTGCAGAGAAAATGCCCAAAGTCTTTGTAGTTCAACATTATGCTCCGGGTGTAGTGTATCAAGCATGTGACCATGCTGTGGGATAACTGATGGAGATACGAAATTGGGCATCTGTTTTCCGGGGTTAACCCAGCAAGGAGACACTGAAATTTACATACCAAAGCCGGAGGAATTGGATTATATCCTCATCTCGTTCGTTCATTTGCAGAATGGGACCCAAATTGGCCTGGACCAGAAGTCATCGTGGAGGTGAGCGAAGGGGTTACGGAGACACAGCGAGGAACAATTGAAATAAATACAACCACAGGAAATGATGGTGAGGCTCTATGTTCCACTTTTAAGCTCACAACCCTCAACGTCACACTTCCGGCACAATTCCCAACTCACACCCGTCACGGGTGCAATTTGTCAGTTGCCAATTGATTACTCTTGGCCGAAACACCCTGCGAACAGTTCAGGAATCAAATGAGGGTGTTGCAAGAGTTGAACTCCATGTGTGAGCCTGTGGCATTGTTTTACATTTAAAATATTGTACCTTCAGCACTCAATGAACTTCCCATCTTCCACCCTCGAATGCCTGTGCCACTGGAGAATTTTGTTGTGTTTCAAATGTACTGTGTGACTCTGGGGATGGACTGATTACTGGATTTGCCTTTAGGCATTCCAAAGTTATCCACCCCTTTTATCCTCTTGCAGGCTTGCGAGAATTAATTAGCGTCAGATGAATATCTCCGTAATTGCAATTCCTTCTTGTGCACCATGTACAATCTCAAATGACATGATAATGAGCTTCCAGGCGACTTACGAGAGCTCTAGTCAATTGATAGACTTGAGAACAGAAGGATGAGACTTGAAATTGATTTCACCTACATTTTCTTTTGCTAAACAACGTGTCTTCACGTGCTATTCGATATGTACATACATATTACGTCCCAGGTAGTTTCCATGTGGAAAATTTTTGCTCAATACTTTAAGTTAAGAAGCTTAACAGGAAATCTCCCAAGCCATCCTGGATTAAGAGAAGGTCTGCACTAACAAACGTCACTATGTCAATCCACAGCTCTTCCATTCTGATAGTGCAATCGGCAAAAAAGGAGGGAAGAGCAAATTTGCCTGGTGGAGATTTAATTTTCCGAAAGAACAACACCCAACTTTCATATTCACATTCACCAGAAGAGAGCAAATATTGATAATGTACCACAAATTCGCAATGGTAATATTTGTGTTATCAAATAAAAGGTTTCATTTCCCTGAAAAGAATATTCTGATGAAAATAAAAATGAGCAGATGCTTCTCAAAACATTACATGTAGGCTAAAAAAATTATTATTATACGAGCGTAATACTTAATGTTTGTCATGTACGTACAGCCAATCGAAATATTCACACAAAAGTTCATTATGTTCAATAATTATTTCATATTGTTCCACTGCACGCATGGAATAAATCGTGCTCAATTCGTAGACTCTGAATCTGAATATATGGGCAGAAAATTATTGAGGCACAAGGAATAATGTTACAAATTGATCCATTATTGTTGAGAAATTATGTCATGTGAAATTCCCAAATTGGAGTCTATGCAGCATTTTCAATCGAAACATCTCCACCTCTGAAAATGTTCAAAATTATCACACCAGCGATCTCGAACAATTGATTGTAATTTCATGATAGTTAGGATATGGTTAATACGTGACAAAAGCTCATGTATTCAGCGGAAAATTCACCCTCCGAAATCTCCATACGCAGGCTGTAATTAGTGGATGGTGTCGTGTTATTTAAAATGGTAAATTTTGCTAATATTTCGTAATCACCGACGTGACACGCGGGGTTGATTAAATACGCTTCTGTAATCACATTTTCCTGGTGGAAAGGATACTCTAGTTGCGGAGTATTTTACTCTTTCTGTCAGCCTTGTTTGTTAAAATTTAAGTCTGTAAGTAAAGCTCCAAAGCAGTCTCATATTACTCAAAGTTTCTCATTATATGTTTGGATTAATTTTATTATGAAAAATTGCCAAAAGTTGTCTTCTTGGCGGTAAAGCTTTTGCTATGGTCGACTTGGAATTGAAATGATAAAAATTATTTGTCACATGGAAATCAAAGCAACTCATAAAATATGGTAAAATCGAGGTAAAAAAGACTTCTGTCAATCAATTCCAGTTGCTGCATATTAGTAATTATACGAGTTTTTTTTGCATTAATTATGTGTTTGATTGATAAATTTATTATTGCAAAAATATATTCGAATGCAATTGAACATATTTTGAAAAATGCTTCAAATATCACAAAATCTATATGATAGACATGCTCAATTTCCTTGGGGACAATCCATGGTTTATATTGTTACATGTCTGCCATATAAAAAATTGATTTGGCGCATACATTGTTGATGAGTTTTCTAGGTGTTTCTACCACAAATTTCAGCTCTGAAACGTCGAGCGTTGAGGTGAAAAGCACAAAAGGAAGTTCTCTATGCAACTTACATGCATAAATATTTAAATAATTTTTCAACCACCTCTTATTTGAAAAAGTCGATAAAATTACCTGATGGTGATGTGAGTGTAAATTGTTCATATGCGATTGCGAACGAGGTTGAGGACTTTCAGTATTCTCTATAACGCCACACGGAGCAATTAATTCCGTACTAACTGAAAATGCAGTGTTTCTTGTTCCTCAAACCTGGCCATGTTTTGAATCATATACTTTCTGCATTCTATCGCAATCTTTATCGATTTTCTCATGGTATATGGCATTCTTTATAGCATTGTTTCCGTACCAATGCAGGAGCTGAGGGAAATTTTTGGAGGGCGTAAAATAAAATTATTATTGTGTTTGCCATATTGTCAGAGATGAATTTATTTATTTATTCTCGTCATTGAGATATTCGCAAGATTGTTTGTCTCCAGCATCAGTGGGAAGTGGAAAGGCCTCAAGTAGTCCTCCATAGTGTGTGCGGAAAGGTCGAGAGAATCCCCTCTAGAGAAACTTGCTTTTATAGTCCACTTATACTTCAGGGATCTTGAAGCTTTCTCCCACCTTTGCGAGACACGGAATGCATGCGGTGTTCTGTGAATTTTGTGTCGTCTTCATCAAACATGATAAAGCAGAGGTTTTGCTTTCATCCCCTTAACAATGTTTTGTTCCACCATTGTATAGTCATGTGAAGAATATTGGATTCCTTATCGTGAAGAATGTCCCAGACAGGTGCCTCTGAGGTGGAGGTTAGCACACATTCAACCTATATTTATTCATTTTATCTTATTTTTCTGCTGTGTTTTCGAAAGGACATGAATTCGAATGGTTTTAGACAAACAATTGTTGGCATATAGACAAGATTATGCAAATCAAACAGTGAATCGTGAACTTTTCAAATAAATTTGCATTTCGTCCATATTAAAGTGTTACAATTGTCTTTAAAACTTCACAATGTCATTCGCGGCACATTTCCATAAGTATCTAATTGTCCAAAGAATTCCTTTGTCTCCGAAGATCAATATTTCAGTGTACATTCTATACTTAATCCTATTCAACTCTTCTGTTTGCATTCAGTTCACTATTCTCTGCAAATTGCAGTGCTTCAGAGACTTTAAGGGACAAAAGATACTTTTGAATTTCACACCAAGCAGTGTTTTCTTATTTTCCATGGAAATTGTTGTATGGATTAATTCCCAGAGAAAATTAAATATTAAATTCTATGCTTCCATTATATAGCGAGTGTACATAACAGTGGAACATTGTTCAATTAACTTTACAGCTTCAAAATCCGACAAGGTTTTTTATAGCTCATCCCAATAAAGCTGCATCAGCTTTTGTAAAGCCATCCAATTTAAAGTATAAGCTTTATTAATTTCACTTGTTAAAATCAAATGAATTAAATTATTAATTTTGCAGCAATAAAACACTTTTTTATTTCACCATGTTTGAAATTAATTAAAATTGTAGAAAAATTGTTTGCTTTACATACAATCCGTGTTGAATTGTGGCCTTTTATGTGTATACAGTATAAAGCTCTATATGAGCATTTGCTCCATCAAAAATTGATTATAGTTCGCTGTTTGAATTTCAATTCATGATGCCGATTTGGCTTCAATAGACAGAACAATAATTGGTATTTTGAGGCTAATATTAATGTGGAATTCCAAGAGAATGACTCAAAAATGTTGGTAATTCTCCGATATTGATTATAAAAAAAAATTAAACACCATTTGAAATGTCTTTTCAATTAATTTGCACATTCTTATGATGACAGTAAAGAAGATCTTTTTTACTATTGGATATAATTTTGTTAAAAGAAACATCGCAATACTACAATTCATTCGGTAAAGTTGAAGAGAATAGAAAAGTAAACTTTAAATTTGAATCCTTTGCTTTTCTCTCTCTCTTCCGACGGAAGTGAATGGCTTCAACTGAAACAGAATTTGTTAATTTATTGTATTTTAAGAGTATTTACATATGTTTGTTTGCTTTTGGTAATACAATTAGATTGTGAAATTTAATTTCAACATTCCTCTTCCCAACAGAAGTGCCAAAAATGTTCAATGAAACAGTGTTAAAAGGAATACGAAAACAAGAATTTGCAAAATATAACAGTTCCATTTAGGATACTTTAAAAATTCAAGAGGAAAATGGAGCTTTTCTCGGGAAATAGCTTTGAAATTCACACTCACTTCTAGACTTCCTTCCGCTTCCTACCCTTGTTATCTGCTTCCTTATCTAGCCAAGTGTGCGAAGGATGTGACCTCTTTCCAGAATCTCTCCTTTTTCTCGTCGTCTAATCTTGTGACTAAATATTTCATTGCATTCACACGCATACATTTTATCTCACGCAGGACCAAAAATAATCGTCCGCACAGAAGAAGTCCTTATTGTGTTGTTTGTGCTGATTCTGTGGGTGGGAGCGATTGCTCTCTTCTTTCACCGATGGGGCAAAATCCGCATGCTGGAGCCGTATCAGCCCAAATTCCAGCAGCAACATCGAGCCTCGTGTCCTCTTGCCGAAATGGATAGCATTTCGGTGCATAACAAAGTAAGGAGAAAAGAACAATAAATTTTTATGAGCACCGAAAAATGAAATTGCGTAGGCAATATTTATGAACCTTCAGTAGAATGCATTGAGATTGCATATCAATTGAAGCATGAATATACATGTATTTCAATTATTGATTTGATTCTATTCTGCCAGAGAGCATCGGTGTCAAAGATGGGAATATCGGTGCAAATGCCCAGTCTGGGACACGGACAAATTCCACAGCAAAACCTAATTTATGCAAGAGGTAAGCCAATACTGCGCGTTCTAAATGAATTCCACTGACTTTTGCTCGCATTTTCTCTCCGCAGGACTTCCAATGTATTCCAGACCCCGGCAAAATTCAGTGTTTGTTGGCCCCCCTGTCATTTCCCCGCTGCAACCGTCCCGCAAGACAAGGTCCGCCGTGGACATCCACCAGCTCGTCCTCACGGAATCCAGTGCCGAGGCCGTCTGATTACCTGCCATCTTGCCAAATTCAAGCTCAAATAACCCCTCAAACACTCACAGTCCCAGACTTGGTGGAAATATTCATTTGATCCACGTAGAAATTCTGAACGAATAAAGAGGTGATAAAACCAGCAAAATGCTAAATGGATTTAATTCAACTGTGAAATACTTTTTATAAATTGATTTCTAAAATTCAGGACACCATTCCTGAAAGTTAAGATTTTATCTCACAAAGAATTATATTGTATCATAAAACAGAGAAAGTATTGTAAAATAATATGTGAATTATTCTCTAATTTCATTGAACTTACCGTGAATATTTATGAAAAATGCAAATGAGCACGAAAGTCCCTATAGTATTTATAGAAGATAATACTAACTACTAAGAATGTAGATTGTAATACTTATTATTGTAATTAATAGGACTGTAAAGAAGAAGATTATCAAACCAACTACGAAATATAGAGAACCAATTTTTTATACTACGTAACGTTCAATAAATGTATACTTGCATATGCTTCAGCACGAGAGTGTATAAAATAAAACTGAGCACATCATTTTTTTAGAATAACAAAGTCTCTCAATGTTCTATGATATATTTGCGCAGTGTTGGAAGAGATTTTCCAAAATCCACTGCAATAACATGAAAGTTTTCAAACAACCATGATGCATTTTTATTGTATGTCTTTGCTTAGTTTTCTGCAAAATATATGTACTTCTTCTCTATACCAATACTAAATCTTCACATTTACCTTCCTATATCTATCTCTTGGTGTAATAAATTGTAGCAACTTAAAGAATTATTGCTGTATTGTCTTTCAAATGAAACCCTTCACAATTTCTTGAGGGTTAGAATAGTGATTTTTAGAGGTTTTGAAGAGAGAGTTTCAATTGTGTTTTAGAGATGATTGGTAAAGGAACATGAATACTTATGTACTAACTGTGCCAAATACTTTCTATGCTTTCATTCCCACGAAAATGAAGAGTTATAAATCTGACAAAAAAAATTAACTGGATTCCGAGCAAAATAAAGACGAAAATTTTTGAATGATAAAATTGAGGGGAAAAATTACGATAAAACATTAAATTGGAAAGTGTTATGTCGGGCACATAACACGAATTCTAATGTGGTAAACTATAGCTTTATTTTATTCTTGATAACATATGAAAGTTTACACGTGTGAAAAGTAAATACGAAGAAATTGAATTATCTAGAAAATGGGAAAGGCATCAATGAATAAATATTTCCTTTTCCATCACAATGTCTGTACATATAGAAAACTACAGAGAAAATATGGAACCAATTTTCACATCATCAATTCTATAAGGAGAAATATTCTGATTGCGTATGGTGAAAAGTAGTTGAGCAGAAATGTAAATGTGTATTTATAGGAGATCTTCTGTAGATATATATATATATAAATGTGTATTTTAAAAAGAAAGGACGAGTGAACATGCGAGGAGGCAAAAATGTTATAAACTTACATTTGATGATGAAGACGAATAAAAAGTTGGTAAAAAAGATTTACGAATCGCGAAGGAGGGGGAAATGTGGCGTGGAGTGACAGAGCTTTCAGGGAACAGATGGTTTTTGGGGTATTCGGTTTCATTCACTATATAGCATTGACATGCCACGACTCCACCTCCGCCCAATCCGCATTTCCGCCCCCTTCGGAGCTTTCTCTCTCTCACTCTCATCCACTTCACGTCTTCATTCGCCCATGACAATGCTTTAGTGTTTAACCTTCGTCTGGTCCAATTTCATTCACCGTCCATCCGTATCGCATATACACGCTGCGAAGGATGTGGGAAGAAGGAAGAGGCGAGCGAGAAGAGGAGCTAGGCAGTTTGTGGTATATTATCATCACCATCAGCACTTTTCACAGCTCCGCCACGCCATCCTCAGTAAATCCACCCCTCTTCAGGGATGGAATAATATATTTTTCGCACAAAAACTGACCATTTTAAATCAAAACACTTTCGAGCATCATCATCCTCTGAGGCATCCTTTTTCCACGTCTCACTTTTATCTCAACCGCTGCGCTGCTGCGTGATTTCTTGAGTTACACACCGCATGAAATGACGAAATTTACAATGTTTGCTTCAATCGAGAAGAAAAGCACCAGCAAGTGGGATAAGAAGAGCCAAAGAAAAGGATAAGAACGTGGCGAAAGCACGAGAATCTCAAGAGGTTCGTAACTTAAGCTGAATGAAGGAGATTATTCCGATAAAGTGGTATATTTTTTATTCGTTGCCATAATGTTTATTTCTTCATGCTCGTTTTCAGCCAAGTTTTCAGCTGAAATCCCACTCAGAAAATATATCAGCTTGTCACGCGATATTTCGACCCTGTTCGGTCTCTTTTACAGCCAGATCAGGAGTGAAATTGTTGCATTGAAATGATCAATGTCCATAATTCACACATAATGTACATAAATGTATATAATATCATCACATCGTAAATCCTTGTTAATTGGAACTGACAATTTCAGAATTTCAAATTGAATCTATTCCAACTGTTATACATATATGGTGCATCCATTTCTACATATTTAACATTTAATTTAGCTACTTACAACAGGAATTTTAATCGCGTTAATAAATCCCTCCCAGTCATGAATAAATGTTGATTGACACAAAATATAATGTCAAATGAAGGAATAGACAAGTGATTTGCCAATTTCTGTGGATTGAATTTTTTCAGAATTGTGTCAACCTGATTACTGATTATAGTCAGATTAGGGAATTAAAGCTGGTTGAATTCACAAAAATATAATTCACTAGTCGCACTAAATGCGCTTATAGCCTCAGTTTTGGTACTTATACATATTAAGCTATCCAGCATCATCCTTGTTCAAGAGCTCGCATAATAACGAATCTCCATTTTCGGAGGCGAGGCAAATGTGTTGTCCTCTTTTCTGCACTGTGCAAAGTGTAAAAGCCAAACTCTCATCCTTCCCACATAGATTACATTGTTCTCACACCTTTTCCCATTTTCTCCGTTGTTTCTGTCGAAGGGAGACTTCTCGCTTTCGACCTCCAGTGCAGCGCTTAAGCCATGTGAGATTGAAAAAGTGTCCCTTGGGCGTCATAGAAGGTCGAATGGGAGACCACAGGGAGAGGAAAATGGAAGAAAATCATCTCGTCGGACAATCACTCTGAGTGCGAAATGATTTTTATTAAATCAACAATTTCTTGCCACATAAACTGACTTTTTGCCCTTCTTCGCGCCACTTCACGCGGCAACTTTTTCACTTTATCGCCCCAGACTTTCCTCCTTGCCTCAATTGGCACGTGAACTTGCACAATTGACGATACTGAAGGTCGAAACTCCTTTTTCACGGCACTTTGACACTTTTCAGGCTTGTCGGTCTTCTCGCAAATAACACCCACTTGGAAATTTGTCAAGAGCCACTCCTAGGATTAATGGTGATCTATGATGTTTGCGAGAATTTCTGCACATAGGAAAAGTGCGATTCCTCGTATGCTTATGGAAAATGAGATTCTACACGAATCAACTTGGAATTGCTAAATTTACAGGCTTTGAAGCAGTCATTAATTATATTGAGACTTAAAAATTGTACATTTATACACATATGCAGATATATTGTGCCACGCTCCCCTCAATTCTTCAACGTATTGTGCAAAATGAATTTTCCTGAAAGCTTGCAGAAGAGCTGGAACATAACATATAGCAAGGGCACCCCTAAAATTTTAATCTCCCAAATGGAGTTGAGAGGAAATTTTTTTTATTCAGTTGCGGCCCTTTGGGATCGGACCATGTCAAGTGTCCTATTTCCCGTGATACACTTAATTAAATTAATTAAAACACCCACAAAAGCTTCATAGATTTTTCTCTCTCTCTGCAGCAAATATTTGGACTGCAGAAAGCCCACTCTCTTCTAGGTTCATTAAAAATAAGCCCCCAGGATTTTTTGCAAGGGGAGTAATGGGAGACCTACTGACTTATTAAATGAGATTTCGGTGTCATCTGACTTTCCCACAGAGCATATTTGAGGGATCAAGAAAAAAGATGCCGCTGCTCGTTTCCTTTGATGATTTTCCTCCCAATTTACAATACCACCCATTCCGAAGATAGAAGAAGCAATAAAAGCTCTCAGCTCTGTCCCTCCTCCTGACCCACACTCAGATTGACAAAAGAGTGCTTCCCTTGCGGGACTTGAGCATTTGCCCTTTTCTACGCCCCAATTTCTGGGCATGACATAAAATTGTCAATCTCCCGCTGAGATTTACACTCAACCATGCGACATGACGTCTCCAGGATGGTCTAAAAATTTTAATTTGCCTCCTCGTGAGAGCCAAGACGAATACTCGCAAATTCATCTTTCTCAGAGAAGTGGAAAGGGCGAAAGATGAGACAATGTTTCCCAGTGTCCTTTAAATTATATTGGGAAATTAGGGGACAAAAGAAGACTGATGAAACAAGACAAGTGAATGTTAACAGTTGCCCAATATATCTACATATTTAATGCCACACAGTATTATATTAGGACAAAATTTAATTCTCAAGGAAAATTAACAATAACGCAAAGTTGAGCGAATCACATCTTTTCTTTGTGATAAGATGGCTAATGAAAATGCAGAAGCTATTATTATTTATAATGCCAAAATATAGTTTGGTTTGCGATTATTTGGAAACTACAGAATCAGAAGACAATCTCATGAAAAAGTGCCAACCATTCTTTTAAGAACGTCAAGAATGAACGAATCAAAATAAGATTTCAAAATAAGATAAAAAAAGAAAACACCATCGTTCCGTCATATTTATTTATTTTAAACTTAAATGAATGCATATGTCAGTGTTCTTATAAAAATTCTTCCTTTTTAAACAACAGAACTAAATGAGATCAATCTGTATAACTGCGGCTAAAGATGAGAACTCTTGACATGGTATTTCAGGAATTTCATAGATTGCATGTAAATACGCCGTTACATTGATTTGTACCATGATAAAAACTAACAGTTATTCACCAGTGTATTTCATTTGAACAATTAAACAATAGAAATTTCTCTGATCTTCAATATAAATTTCATATTGTCACTTTGCTTTATCAAAATTATCGTGAACTATTGTCAATGTTAACTTCAATGTCAGGTAGCAACGGTAGCAAAGAATCCGTAAGTTAGTGTCAGATCGTTTTAGGACTTTGAATCACAGGCACTTTACATTACTTCTTCTCACGAATATTGCCAAGGCGAAGATGCTCGTTCTGGCGGAAAGCCTTCCTCTGCGCCGGCTGCATTCCGTTGCAGCTCCGGATGATATTGTTCTTTTCACAGTACTTCTGTGGATTATATGCTGGAACCGATTGATCATTATCCCAGTCGTCTTCGTCAACGGTGAGGTATTCTGGCACCATTTTCACGGCACCACTGTGTCTGTGAAGTGACTCTACAGAGTCAACAATCGGAGCGACAAACTTGTCCACAGCCACGCGATCTGGGCAGCTTTCCATGTGCAGCTGCAAATTGGAAAGGATAATGAATCTCTGAAGTCTCTACCGGAAATGCGACGCCAAGGAAAACTCACCCCACGCTCGGGCTCATTGATCAGATGAGTCGAATTGAAGGGACAACAAATTTTCTTCGTAGCATTAGACTTCTCATATTCCCGACGACATCTGATGAGGTGCGTCTGGAATCGTCTGCCGTTCTCAACTTGGTGAATATGGTTGTAAGGACATTCCACGAGATTCTCGTATCCTCTCGGTGTTGCCATTTTTTTATTCGCAATCTGTACAAGAAGCCAAGATTTAGCACGTGTAGCACAATAATATGTAGTCGGATTGAAGAGGCAAACTTACCAAAAACAGCTGATTTCATGCAGTTTTGCCAATTTTGTAGATTCAGCACTGCGAACGTCCGCTCGAGTTTATCAAACTCCTGACACTTCAGAAACTTCCGTGTGAGGCTCTGCTGTAGTGAAAGAGGAGAATTTACTAACCCAGGTGAAGTTCACCCACTCTCTGTAAAAGCGCGAAAATCTTGACACTATTGGGCCTAAAAAATACATTAAATCTTAAGATTTACAAGTCTGCACTTCAATCGAATATTGATAAATAAAGCCTTCTACGATGTGAGTAATTATGATTTCAGTCGGTTTCGACGATCTTGAGCACTGCACGCGTACCACTTCGCGTTAGCTGTTCGTTTGGTATTGTCAAGCAGTGTGATGTCGGGCAATTCGGGTGATGTAAACCCTTCAACGGCGACGCCATTTCTTTCCGGTGTCAAATACTACTGAGGTAGTATCGCGAAGCGAGAAAAATGGTGAGTTTTCGTGATAAATCTCGTGATTTCTCACTCAAATCCACGATGAATTGAAGATTGAAGCCCCCAAGCACACTTTCGTGTAGAAATTACCTGGCAAATTGGGTGGTTTGAGTGAGAAAAGGCGATGTGAAAATTCTACCACGTGTGAAACAGTGTTGTCTAATGTCGTGGTCTTTTGTATTTTCTTCCAGACGAAGGGTACTTCGAGTTTTGGAAAACGCCGCAATAAGACCCACACGCTGTGCCGTCGCTGTGGGCGCTCATCGTACCACATCCAGAAGCACCGATGCGCTCAATGCGGATATCCATCGGCTAAATTGCGGTCCTGTAAGTGTGACATAACCTCAAAGTGACAATGAACTCCCGGAATGTTTGTTCTGTGCTTTGAGCGATGTGATGGATTTACCAAAAAACATCGTCAATTAACGCAGATAGATGATAATGTGTGGAGAAGAAGAACAGCGCATTGATCTTACTGAGGATATTAATGGGTTTTTGCTTTTCCGCACAAATGACTGAATTGACCAAATTGTTTGTGTATGAGTTGGAATATTGAGTAACTGGTGTCTCTCTTTGCAGACAATTGGTCCGTGAAGGCCAAGAGGAGGAAGACCACAGGAACTGGTCGCATGCGCTATCTGAAGAACGTCAGGAGGCGCTTCCGCAACGGATTCCGCGAGAATGTCACTGCTAAACCACGCAAGGCACAGGCTTAAGCTGGAAGAATTTGTGTAAATCCTTGTGAGCAAAGATTGAAGAATTAAAAGCCGCGAATCATGCTTTCTGGTATGAAAATTTAACAGTTCCATTTTTTACACCACACCGTTTTACGTAAAAGACGTGAAATTTTCTTGGTGCCCGCTTTTGGGTAATCCTTCCAAGGTTATTGCTTCTGCATCCAAAATATCTTGGTCAATGTGTCGTGATTATTTAACACGAAATGCTCATTTAATGGAGAAAATGATCTCTCATGATGTCTTTGGATTGCAATATCAAAATCGCATTTCATTTCAATTTTACATAACTTTCTTTTATCACAGATCTTCTATCAATGCGGTCATTTATGCAAATGTGGTTTCTTTCGGTGCTTTTTTTGTGGTAGAGAATTGCAAAATTTACAATCCAGGCGATCATTTTAGGACTTGAGCATATAAATTGCGAGATTTCGGCACTTTGCAAGTTCTCTCTTAAGATAAGAGATCAGCAGAATTTGATTTTGTGGCGCAAATAGGAATTTGCCCGGATGCGGTTTTTGGGGATTTTGGATACAACTTTCGCAATTGAGATGAAATATTTGTGTGATTGAATATCCCAAATGGCAGGTAATGGAGAAATGATTGTCCCTCTGCGTGGTGTTTGTGTGCGAAATGAAATCGTTTGGCGATGAAGATGAATTTCCAGGTTAGACAAAGTGCAGGTCTTGCAAGTGAAATACAATTTCTTGTGTCGCGCGCGCGTTCACTGGTGCTGGAGGCCAAATGTGGAGTGAATGAGAACCCACGGCTGGGGAGGGAGAGACAGAGAAAGCCTCCTGACCAGAGAAGCTTGAAGTGGCGTTTCAGTTGAGGCGCGACTTTCATATCGTTCGCAAGTGGAGTCGCTGTGAAGAGTATCGGAGCTCGCGGTGTTGTGGAAAGAAGGCCTCTTTCACTTCTCAGAATCACTCCTCATCACTTGTGTGTGCGTGATCGCGAGACAATTAATTCTCTATAAAGCTGGGAGGATCGCGCGGTATTTTTTATCGTCTCCAGCGTGTGTGTCAAGGTGATCTGAAGCCATCAATCTACCAATTCACAGTCTCTCTGAGGCGAGAATAGTGCCCTCAAATCTATTCTCACACCTGGCTAAGCCACACACAATCGATGGGCCGTCTGATAGCTATATTGGGCTCTGTGGGTGAGAGAGCTCAAAGAGATGAGCAATAGCATTCCTCAATAACAAGATAGCCACAATGCGTTTGTGCGTATGAAGGTGGAAAGAAAGTTGTGAGGCGATATTTATGTATCTGAATCACTTATTCGGTTGGTCATCGTCTCGTCAATGTTTTGAAAGTTTTTCACCTACACGTGAGAGGAGGAAGAAAAACGCCACCACAATCAATGAACTCTTCATTTTGCATATTCCGTGCTGTGCTGCAAGTCGACCAATTTTCACCTGCAGGGTTGAAAAAGTTGTCCGAAGGTGTGTGCAAGACACACGATAACCAGGTCAATTGGGTTGATGTGTATAGAAGATTAAAGAGCTATTAAATTGTATGTTTTCCCGTTCTCCTCACTGAGTCCACATCTAAATTATGCATGTTGATGCCGACACGTGAGAAAGTAAGAAATTTCTCGCTGAATTATCAGTCGAGAATGCCTTGCAGAAACATATACCGGATAGTTTTTGATGAGGAAACATCGTCTATTGGCTGTGATTAAGAAATAAATTATCACGTAGGTGTTTTTATACAATTAACAAACTTGTTCCTCTGAAGTTTCGCTATAGAGACAGAATTTTTAGCTTAGCCGCTTGCTCAACGTCACTTTGCGCAATAAAATTCACAATTTTTTTCTCGTGCACTGCAGTTTTAATATTTACTTAAGTGAGTGTTGAAAAATCAGTAAATGTTTGAAATTGCGTTGATCTATGAAACGACTAAAGAGATTTGCATATGAATTTCAACAAGCATGCGTACATTTGGACAGAGGCGCGATTCACTTATTTGTCTTCTTCTGCAATAGCGCGAAAAAGAAAGGGTGAAATTTCTGTAACTGCGATGTTTCTAAACTCTGTAATTAATTTGCTGGACAGATGGAAAAGCTACAATTTTTATGGAGTCTTAAGCATGTTGTAGAGTCGATATCACAACCGGCATATTAACTTGCGATTGCAGACTTTTTGGATTTGCCAATTTGTCTGCTTTTGTGGGTGGTGGAAAATTCATAAGAATAGCACAAGAAAGCAACAATTGAATAACAAAATAGGGACAATTTTGTTTGCTTAATCTCACGATGAACAAATAAGCTTGAAGCTTTTAGAAAGGGTTTTATTGTGGAGTTTGTTTTTAAAAAGCTCACTGATAATCACTTGTACTTTTGAGACACGCGCGCAATATATTTTTTTTAACTGCATTTCTCGGTAATGTCGCTTGAGTGGTATAATAAAAGAAATCTGTGAGCATGATTTGGCGATTGAGTCAATATTCAATTCAGGTGCGCAGATTGTGCGAAATAAAGATGTTATAAAACGGAATTTTCACTGTCTCGTCATATTTGCGTAATGTCAAGCTCTATTTTCACTTCTTGAAAAGCCCATTTCTGCCTGCTTAGTACTCTCGCTGAGTGTAAGTACGTGCTTGCGGCTCTCGCGGGGGTGGGAAGATTAGGTGAAATGGTCTAATGGAGGGAAGAAGGCCTGTGCACACGCTGCAATTGAATTTACGTAAGAAATAATCACAATATAATTTATTGTTTTCCAATTCTATTCACTCTCGTGGCAATTATTTAATAACAAGGAGATCTCCGTTGAGATTTTCTTCGTCTACCAGTTCTTCCCTGGCATTGTAAAATTAAAATCACGCTCATTTTTCGCGAGTTGTGTGTGCACACCTTCTTTTGGGCGGCGACCACTCAACAGCTTCTCGTATGCATTTTTCGATTGTGTGTGGTGAAAGCGTGTGAAAGTAGAAAATACTTTTGGACAAATAACTCACTAAAACAATTAATTTATTATAAAATCCGCGCCCAGGACGGTGAATCACGTTGATGATATATCGCAGTGCTATTTGCTAATGAAATTCTCTTGGAGATGATGTGACAAAAGACAGTGAGTTGAAATTCAGGTGCATCTGAAGAAAAAAAAATAGTTTTACAGTGCAACGGAACAACTCGACGCCCAATATGTTCGTCTCAAGTTCACCTTTCCTGCTGTTTTGCGTCTCTTATGCAATTTGCTTGCTGACATCAGGTAATAAAGTCATTTTTATGCTCTCTTCCTATATTATTTCCTCCATTGATTTACGCCGAGACGAAAGGCATTTACTAGAAAAGCCGTTTTCCCCGCTATAGTGTCACTGAAGCGCGATTATGTTGATGTAAGTTGAGTGCTGAAATTGGAGAAATGATCGATAATGTCGTCTGTAGTAATTTCTTCTGGATCGTATAGTATAGAAGCAAAAGAGAATGAGATGAAATGAAATCATGTATGAGAGTTGGAGAAAAAACACACACACGCGAGTTCAGTAAACTTCAAATATACCTTCCATTTAGGTTGATGTTTTCACGATCATCGTCCGGTTTTGATCATGATGTTGCACATTTTAATTTCTTATTACTCTGGTGGTATAATTTTATTGATTAATGCGATGTGAAATGAGAAATATTTCTGGAAAATATCGTATGAAAATAAATTCGTGAAACATTGCAACACAATCCGTTACTCTTTACCTTGACTAAAGTCTTTTCCACGTAAAATCAGATTGGAGAGGCGACCCATGAGAGTGGAAATGTGTCAAAAAGTCTGTACAATAGAGTACATGTCTTCAGGTGAAACAATCGAGATTTAATTGAAGATTGAGGTGTTTTCTAATTTCACGTGAGGTCAACAATGTTGTTGAAATAGTCTCTCTTTCTCGCTTGCAAAGTGCGATGCCGAAAAAAAACAGAAGAAAGACTGTTCTCAATATTGTTGATGAGGAGAAGAAAGACATGGTAAAAATCACTTCTCAGTAAAACGGTGTTCCCATTCTTTCCTCCTCACTTTAATCCAATATAAAGATGACTATAGAAGAGAAGAAAAGAGCGAAGATGAACTCTTTTGCCTCTCAGAATCCCAGAATTGGAAATGTGTTTGTGGATTTCTAGGCGATCCACCGTTAATTCATGATCTTTTCTTCGTGATAATGCTTAAAATTATAATTTAAATTGCTAATTTTACAAGTGACAAAGAGAATTTACACTTTTTCAACATTAACTCTCCTTGAGTGATTTTCAGAAGATTGCAAACAATAATCTATTTTCGCAACAAACTGTTTTGTAGTTACAGTTCCATCAACAATTTGTTATTCAGTGAAATGCAAATGGATTTCCAATCAATAAATTCATATTGCTGAAAAATCTCTTATACAATTCGTATATTTACACGCTGATTCGCTTATTTACTCGCTTGTAGTGATAATTAAATTGTTCAGTAATTAATTTGTTGGGTTTTTTAATTGCCCATTCATTGACTTACTGCATTTTGTTGGTTTTGTTTTCGCTTAATGCAATGTTGTGTTTTTTGAGTCATTGTAGAGCTTTTGAATCAAGTTTTGAATTCCTTCTTCTCTTTTCTAACTCATAATCAAAGTGACTCTAAAATGAAGTAAAAAAAACTGCGCTGAATTGAGAAGAGTTTCATTGAAATTTACGTTGTCCATGATCTCGATTGCTTTTAATTGGGATTTCTATTGAATAATTGAGTGTATAATGGCAAAAATGCACGAGTCTTTCCTTCTCAGCAAATTATTCTTGAGCAAAAATTTCTCTTCCTCCGATTTCCTTTTTGCCACTCTTATTAACGTCAACATTACTTGGTGGTTTTATAGCGGAAAACGGAGAGAAGTCGGCAAATATTTCTGCTGAATTAATTGGAAAGCAATTAAAGGCGTGGTTCTTCGGAAGTTCACAGCTTTTGCAGTCACCGGAAAATGCAAGATTGCCCCAATTCAGCATAATTACGCCTTTGTCTTTGAGTTTATTGGCCTATTTTGAGAATTTGAATTACCATTAATCGCGCAATGCTATAGAAATTGCTTGATTAAATACAATTTTCGAGGTCACTGATGAAGAATCACAACTCCTACAAGTTTGCTTTGGCCTATCATGCGTTTTATCGGCTTTATCACTTTTGTAGGCGGTGAAAGTGATGGTTTCCTTCTCTGTTGAGACCTTCCTCGTCGCCGATGCACGAGACGAGCAAAAAATGGATCACAAAAGCAGAAAGAGACACTAATTTATCTAAACTTGTTAATGGATAGTATCATGCTCTTTGGCGTTATTTGGAGAGTCACAATTTCACTCTTTTGTATGCTTAACACTTTAGCACACTCTCTAATATAAAGTGAATGATGAAAGGAAATTACATAGGACACTTTAATGAACGCCGCGCGAAATATTATATATCTCGCGAGTGTGTCTGGCATGGAGTGTTAATGAAAGTTTTTTCTTCCCACTTCACACACACACATCTTGACAAAGCCAAGAAGTGCATTTCGCTAGAGTGAAGGAAAGAGAATGAGATTAAAATGAGTGTGTGGAGGTGTTTCACATTATTCATAATTTTCTTCTTTAATCACGATGTAGTTTGACATTCTCTGTGACCTACATTTTCGGGTCAGTCGAACATTCTCTCACTCTCACGCTGTGCACTTTTTCCAGAAGTGCAACCTTTCATTCCTTATGTAATTTCTTGCACTGCTGATAATTTACTTGATCGCTTGTATTCTTTGATGATTATCACTCCTGCGCAGCTTTCATTTTGCTCAATGTGTCTACTTATAACTGCACACCTTTCTACTAGTTATCAATTTGAAGAGAAATGGTAGGTGCACAAGAGGTTGGCTTGGAGAGGAATTTTATGCAACCACACAGTTGCAATTTAATTGAAAATTCCTGTATATTCGAATCATTTCTGATGAATTTCTTAATTACTGTTCAGATTCAAGCACTCATTTCCTCCACTTTTCATAAACAAATTCTCTAATGTCTATTCCAGCGAATGGAGTTAAGTGGCCGACGAGCGAAGAAGAGGCTCTCGATGAGAGGAATGACTTTGAAATTCTCAAAGCTGTCCAGCAATCAATGCACGACTGGAGGATGAAGACACACCACAAGCATCACCGGTGAGATTTCCTCAAGGATTTTCACGTATATTTTGAGTGCTACTTCAGCATCTTGCTTGTGTGCTTGAATGATAAGAGTTTATCTTTATTTATGAGTATTTACATAATTATGCTCCGTGGAATGTCCAATGATAACCCATTTTTAAAATGATGCACGTTCGAGTAATAAATTATAGCTGAATATATGCAGTATAATAAATTGTAATACATTCATGTTATATTTCTCAAGAACATCTTCTTCTGTCGTTGAGCAAGACAATTTATGAACAATGCACTATCTTGTGCCAAGGTTCGTGCAGTATTCAAATAAATTTAGCCGAAACTGATGGCTCAATTATGTGTTTTTAACACACTCAGTCATACTTTATGATTTCATAATGAAATCCCTCTGTCTTATTCTTGTTTCTGTTCAGAAAAAAAATTCTTTGTTACTTGCTTAACGAGAAGAATAAAGTGTAAAATTTTGCAATGATTTTTCAAAGGCGCATGAAAATAATTACTTACAGCCGAAATTGTTTAATAACCATTTGGTTTGTTTGATTTGGGTTATGTGAAATGCTAAAAGATTGATCGACCTTCATGCAATTTCTCAATTGAACTCAAATTATTTCATATTGTATGATGAATTGTATTACTTCCATTAAATCCTTGAATTGTTTTTTTTATTTGACGTAGAATTGAATTCTTAACATTTCTAATTGAGCATGAAATTTCTATACTGGCTATTTTGACAATTTACGTCTGTGCTTTACGCATATTGAGCAGAAGCTTTAATTTTATAGTTGATCGAGTTAATCAGTATCAATTTATTGCAAATATGTTTACATTCCTTCGTGATGAGGTAATTTTCTTCTCACTTTCTACATACGCAAATAATGTACAATCTGCCAAGAAAATGGTTGCATATCACCTATGACTTTGAGTAACTCCATAATTGTCTGGCATTACATTTTACAGTCTTTCCTAGGGTGTCTAACCACACTTAATGTACTTGAAAATCGTTATAAAATGTATCGTTTCTTTCACAATTTCTCCTCGAAAATTTTCTTCACCTTCGAAGAGTCCCGCCAATTGTGCAATTGATGAAAGAAGTTGCTTCATCGTGGCAGTGAAATTTGTTGTCATATTGAGTAATATTGACAAACGCAGGGATAATTGAATTATGGCTAATTTATTAATTGTTATATAAAGTTGACTTCTTTTGCATCACATGCATTTCTCTATATTCTGCACAGCATTTATGTAATCATCTTATCATGAGATGATATATATTTCTGTTTACTCAATCTCACTGCACAGTAACAGAATTTTCTCGCTAAATCATTCTTCTTGTGACTAATATAATTGTCTTCTTCCTTATCTATTTAATTTAAATAGTAAGCTTAAAATGTTGACGCTGTATTTGCTCATAGAGGAAGCAAATCTTTGGATAGCAGAACAAGTAATTCTCTCTGAATTCGTGTCTTCAAGAGTTTGTAGCTCTTGTCTTGCAACTTTTCGCATCATGATCAGAGAAAGTTGCCACAATTTGCAAGGAATGAATTATGTGATCATACAGCTAAAAGCATGCGGAAGCTTTTGCTGCTGAAATACATCATAGTCCTTTGCAGGTCATACTTAAAAATTCAATAGAAAAGACAAGAAACACTTGGCGAAATTGTGATGAGAAAATACTCTTCGTGATCTTGACCATCAGCGATGATCATCACGATCTTTTTTGCGTTGGAAGAGCCAAACAATTAAGCCATTCACTCGTCCGTCAGACGAATGGGTACAATTTAGAAAGATCTGCAAGAGAGAGGCAGAGCACAAAAGTGACTTCCCGCGGTGCTTTTTCTCCGCCCAGAGCTTCTCATATGTAATTTCGAAATCACTTGCCACAACCTTGAACTCCTGAACTCACCGCAAAACCTAAATTTGCTCGATGCTTTTTTTTGCAGGCGAAAACGCGAAGAGAAACGCGTTTGCTACGGAGATTTGGGCTGCTTTGAGGATTCTGGTCCATTCGGATATCTGGACATGCTGCCTGCGTCTCCGGAGGAGATTGACACTAAGTTTTACTTCTATTCCACGAAAAACAGGTGAGTTTTTGCTCGACTTTTCTCTTGCAGCCGTAATTTGCATAGAAATCACGAAAGACAATGCGATAGTGGAGCGAAAATAACCGGTAATTTGTTTCATTTTGCATTCTTTCCTCTTCCGGAAGCTTTTTACTATACTTTGAGCTTTTGTATTTGGTATTTTGGAGAATATGTTATGCAATTGTGGAAGAAAGTGTATAAATGGGAGAAAACTCAACAATAACATTAAATTGACGCTAATTTTGTAGCAATTGATTTGTCACAAACACTTCTTGTGGCTCTATTTAGTATCAATGATTTCATTGTAGTGGGAGAACAATGAGCCAATTATTTGCACGTGTGCTATATTTTTGCAGAGGCGATCGTCCGCTCGTGGAGTTTTCGTACTTCAACATCTCCGCCGCCGTGGGAACCGATGACCATCCGACGGGTGAAACCACCACTGCCCTGAACGAGTCGAATGGAACGACCATCGCTCCGACGAACTCCCCGGAGGCTTCTCTTCGGCGGTCATTGGACAGCCTCGAGGGCCTGGAGATTCTCTCGGCGCGCGTGATTGTGCACGGTTTCGGCTCCAGCTGTCCTCATGTGTGGATCTATGAGATGCGTACTGCCCTCATGGCCGTGGAGGACTGCATAGTGATCTGCGTGGATTGGGAGAAGGGCGCATCGCTGCCCAACTACGTGAAAGCGTCGGCCAACACGAGACTCGTGGGGAAGCAATTGGCTCAACTTCTGGCCGCTCTGGAGAAGCATCGTGGTCTGCAAATGTCTCGAGTGCACGTCATAGGCTTCAGCTTGGGCGCACATGTGGCGGGATTTGCAGGAGCCGATCTGCCTGGACTAAGCAGAATCACAGGACTAGATCCGGCGGGACCGCTCTTTGAGTCGCAACACCCTAAAGCTCGCCTCGACAGCAGCGATGCGAACTTCGTTGACGTCATCCATTCTAATGGAGAGAATCTGATCCTGGGCGGTTTGGGATCCTGGCAACCAATGGGTCACGTGGACTTCTATCCCAATGGAGGCCGAGTTCAGCACGGATGCTCGAATTTGTTTGTCGGAGCGGTGACTGACTTCATTTGGTGTAAGAAATTGATTAACTTCGCACAAAGTCATAATAAATACCATTTCTTATTAATACTTTTTATACTACAGCTCCAGCTGCTTCTGTGGAGGGAAGATCTCTATGCAATCACAGGAGAGCGTACAAATTCTTCATAGACTCCGTGGCGCCACGATGTTTGTTTCCAGCCTTCCCTTGTGGCAGCTATGATGAGTTCTTGCAGGGCAAATGCTTCCCGTGCAAGCAATCCTCAAATTCAACAGGGATCTCTGCAGATGCTAGATGTGGCAACATGGGATACTATGCCGATCGGTCCACAGGGAGAGGGCAACTGTATCTGGTGACCCGAGAGGAGGAACCGTTTTGCGGTGGGTTTAATTTCAATGATCAGTTTGAAGACAATTCTAATTTTCCACTTTTGTCTGCAGCTCATCAGTACAATATTGAGATTTTCAGCGCCCTAAGTGAACTTCCTCTGCGATCTCTCGGCCGTTGGGAAGTGACTCTGATCGGAGAAGGAGGTCTCAATGAGACTTTCACCATCACAGAGTAAGATAGAATACAATCAGCACACTTGAATGTTTCCATCAAATCGGGGTATTTTCTTTCAGAAAAGACGATACAGAATTCTTCGCTGGGGAGAGGTTTTCGCGTATTCTTGTGCCACATCCAGCTCTGGGCTTTCCCACTGACATAGCACTCACTTACAAATCCTACAGTGGATGGCTATCTCGGGGACTGCCCGTGTGGAATATTTATAAAGTCATCTTGACGGACAGCTTTGGCCGTAGCTACTCTATCTGCAAGCGCTTCTTCACTCTCGAGTCGGGAAAGCCAGAGCTGCTGGCACTCCTGCCCGGTGATTGTCACATTCCCGAGGAGATTGATCTGGAGGAGGGTCCTCTCGATCGGATTGATGACAAGAAGAGTGAGGAAAATGAGGTAAATCATGCGTATGGAGTCTATGATGATCAAGATTTGCGCTTCGCGCGTGATGACAGGGAGAACAGTGTGAATCCCAAGTGGCAACATGTGGAGGGGAATGGCCTTGAGAGTGGATCTGGTACAGAATCGAGTCGTGGATTCCCTGAGGAGATTGTCACAACGCACAATCCACCGGAGATTTTTGAGCCAATCCTCAAGGCGAAGAGACAAAAGAGTGGAAAGGGTCGGAGATTCGACACGGAGGCATCGGCTGATGAGATTCTGGAGCCTGTTCTGCGCTCAACAACACCCAGGATTCGGAATAAGTCTCAGGAGGACGCGCGATCTGCTGGCGAGAAGAGAAAGTCCAGAGATGGTAATTTCCTCACTGTGCAGCTCTTTCCATTTCGTCTGGGGGAGATTTTGGAGAGAGCTGAGCGCTACGCTAGACTTACTCTCTTGCCACTGATCAGCGAAACTGCTCCGAGGTTCTTCAACTTTGCCGCCCAGAAGGATGACCGGAAGCCCAAGTACCTCACCGAGGAGGAGTTCAAACAAGCTGAGATTGCTGATGCTGTGACTAAGAATCTCATGAACACCACCACTGTGGCGCCGATTAATGTGACGGCCAAGGAAGAGAGTCCCTTGACACATGCGGAAGTGGAGAACGCCTCAAGTCCCAGAAATCTGTATGAACCCATGCGAGATGAGTCCAGCAATGATTCACGTGTCATTCAACCTCGATCCGCCTCTGACAGCAAGTACTATACAAATCTGCAGGATGTCGTGCCACCGAGTACTCTGCCGGAAGTGATTAAGAAGGATCAGTCAAAAGATGAGAATGTGATCCGCATCGATTTGCCCACATATCGCCCACCTTCTGTTGACTTTCCCTACAACTTTGAGCTGCCCACCGCGTCGGAGGAGGACGTGGAGGTGCCTCTGGTCACAGAGAGTGCTGAAGAAGTCCATCACAATGCCGGCAGCAAGTTCATCCCCCTCACTTTTGCCCACAGTGCCGACAGAGAGTGACGACAAGAAAGGCGCTCTCTGAGTTTGTTATCTAGTCGGGGAGTAGAATCCCTCCAAATTCCCTCAATCTCTCAAACCCCATTTCCTCTCCCTCCCCCTAATCTCACACTGTCTCCCTTCTTTACGTGGAGGTTCTTCTAGTGGGACTTGGTGTCGTTGTCGTTAGTTTATGGCTAATTTTTCGTTTTAATTTATTGTTTTCCCCATTTCCCTTAGTTTTACGGTGGTGCTTTTCTCAGTTAGATGAGTTTTGCTCTCTTGTAGTTTGTACAATTTTACATTTATAGTTTCAATAAAGAAATTTCAACGTTTTGTTGTTTTTTACACCAAGTGTCGTTATTTCGAATGTGCATGGAGAAAAAGCTCAAGATGAAACACCGATGAAACATCGCTTGCTTCGAACTTTCCGATGGTTTTTGTCTGGGATATTGATTCACTCAAAGTTAGTATTTTTTTCTTTTTTTATTTAATGTGTTTCCTCTTTTTCTCTCAAAACAAACATTTTTCACTTATATTTTACATTATCTGCTAAGGCTATATGAGTAACAGTCCAATGTCTAGAATTTTTTAAACTCATTTTTCTTCACTTTCATCAATAAATAATTTTTGAAACTTGTGTTAATTCCAATTAAATTTTGTCCTCTTGCGTAAGGATATTTTCTTTACAATACAATATTTATTACTGGACACAGTTTTGGCATTTTTTCAATCGTAAATTTTCTTCAAAGTTGAATAAATAAACGTAATTATTTAATTTTTATCAATTTCAATAATAATAATTTTAAAATGATCTTTCTTGTTTATCTACTAATTTTTCCGATTACATATTTCTTTTTCTCATATTTTTTCCACCTTTTGCACTAACCTACAAAGTTTCTTCCACTTTTATCAGTTTTTGGTATATCTTCTTATATTCTCTATTAAACTTATAGTGGGGATTGTATATTTTGGTTTTACACATTAGTGATTGATTTCAATCCGATAAAAGTTTTACATAAAAAGAACATTTTTCCTATAAATTGTAAGTTTTAATTCTTTTCCTTCTGTTTCCCATAAAAATTGCATTTAAAGTGTTCATGTGTGAAAATATGAGACAGTTCCGGTGAAATTTTGACGAAATGAAGGAAGAGTGTTTTCTGTTGGTGTGTGACTACCAAATGACAGGGAAAATATTTATCGAAAAAGTTGTTGGTATGATTTTTCTATATTTGAAAGTTTTTGGAAAAAAAAAATTGAAAACAAAAATTTTACTCGACCACAATCTCGCGTCTTTTGTGAAATTGTCATGATATGATTTTATTTTTCACTCACTTTCTCCTATACTTTTAAATATTTCCCTTAAACAGCATTTATCAAGATGAAAAGTAATAAGTTTACAGTAGATTTAGACGATTTTCTCTCTCTAATTTTCATTAATTGTTTTAATCATCGCGTCACTCTTAAAATATTCTTGGAAAACTTTAAGCTCATTTCGGTTTTCATTCTATTTTACTCTCATTCTGATTTTCCATACGACAAAAGTTATTTAATTCAAACTGCTCTTCAGCACTTCCTAAAAGAAACTGTGTAAAATATTTAGTTGAGAATTAAAGAAAAATTATAAGCAGATTTTTTCAATTTTAATTCTTTTTCTTTTACTCTAACATCCAGGATTATTTTTGTTCTTTTTCTCTAATTAACATTGAAAGCTTCTCATCTAAGAGTAGTTTTTACGGTCAGATTTTATGAGATTTTTACTTCAAAGTTTTCTCTTGAATCATTAAATCACTTTTCGAAATCGGTGAGACAAATGGAAGTTAATCCATTTGTTCCTTTTTTTTCGATAACCCAATGAAATCATGTTTACAATATTAGAAAAAGTATTTCAATGTTTTTCTTAGAGCTGTTACAGGTAAACAAAAAATTGCTAATTTTTTTTACTAATTTTTCAAGGTTATATTTCAATATTTCTCAACATTTTGTTTGTTTTTGTATCCTGAAATCACTCACATTCAAATCATCATTCCTCAAATCACTAAAAAAATTAAAATAGGCGACGCCAGCGTCACTCTATAATATTTTCTATCCTCACAAAATCCTCACTACAGCATCTATTTTGTATATCTTGATGATTTGAGTGATATCATAGAGAATCTTTGCACATTTTCTTCTTTTTTTTCTTTTAGGAAATATTTCTGTCTGCGTTTAGCTTCTCATCTGAAAGTGACAACTCTAAACATTCCCCATTAGCTAACGATAGTTATAATCTTCTCTCTGTTTTCATCTTTTACAATATTAATTACATTTTCATGCTTCACTATCCTTGCTTTAAGTTTCAACTCTTCATCTTCATTTCATAATATTCTTTTTACATAAATATTTTTTATATTTGTATAATATAATTTCCATTCTGTTTTCATTTTCTAAACTTTATAAGTGGCTTCACAATGTAAGAAGATAATAATAATTTTTTCTCGCTTAATCCATACTTTATTTAATTAATAAAAATAAATAATAAATTGAGGAACCTGCCCCCGAAAAATTCAACGTGTTATTACAATTTATTACATTTATTACACATTCCAGCCAGCCAGAGAAAATATTTCACAATATATTTGCTTTTTTGTTAATTTGTGTGTTCTTTTTTTAATATATCTTTGTATATTTTTAGTATCCACTTTCAACGTGTATATTTATTATTAAGTTATCTTTTAAACTTATTCTTACTGGGACAAAAATTGAGTAATATTCATCTGTAGAAAAACCTTTTTTTCACTAAATTCTTTTTCGAAGAATTCTAATCTTTGTTTTCCACCTTGTCTATGTATGGATTTTAAAATATTTTCTCTCCATTCTTTGTCTTTGCCTTTTCACCTTGAAATACCTACCATTTTCAGAAATTAATCAAAGAAAAGTGGACAAATAAAGACTTGTAAATATAATATCAACGATTGACAAAATGTTCCCGAAGAGAAAATATTAAAATATTATACATTTCTTCACCATTCTTCTCAAGGATCCTGCCTTGTGTACATTTAACTAAAACAATTACTATAAAATAACGTTGCAAAGAAGACGAAAATATTGCGGGGTATTTGAAAGAAAATGAATTATACTTCTTGATGTACAATGTTTTCTCTAATGTGTATCATTTGTTGCTTCTGAAAAATTGCTAAATCTACAATATTTCATAGTAGTTTTGCAAATTTTCCACTACAGTTTTATATTCTCATTTTGTCTGAGAAGATCTTTTGCACCCTCCAGTGATGAAATGGAGATTCTTCATCCTAAAATGCAGCTCTACTTGAAAGTTTTCTCTCAATCTAAAATCTAACATTTCACTTTCTTTATTTTCCTCCTTTCTGCTTCTCTATTGTAATGAATTTATGTTTCACTTTTCCTTTTCAAATATATTATCTAAAGGTTATTTCAAGTTTCTTACTAATATTTATTACTCTCTAAACGTTTATATGTTCAATTTTATTTTCCCTTTTAATTTCTTTTGCTTTCTGTCCTCTAAAAGATTTCCTATTACATCACTAATATTTCTATATATGTTCTTCTTCTCCACCATAAAGATCTCCTTTTGTTAACTACATAAAGAAAACAAGTTAAGGAAGAATTTGTGTGTATACAAACAAGAGGAGAATTGTCTTAACGACTGCTTTTATTCGCGAGTTGTTAATTATCCTTTATCTTCTGGATATCAATTCATCCGTCAATTACTTTGTGTACTGTAAAGATTCACTTGTGAAAACACAAAGTGTGATTCAGTAAAATATCCAAAAACTCAAAAGCACTTCATTTCTTGCAGCTTTTACACGCAAAGCATCTTGAAAATATTATTAAATTCTTTGTTTTGTCACTTGGACGCAACTTATATTTGAAATCTTAATTTTCTTTTTATTTCACAGAGGAAAAACCCTATTTTATTGGTTTCTATAATCTTTCTATGTTACATTATTCCTCGCCAGATCAAATATATGTCTTATATGCATACTTTTTATAGACACAACCATTCTTTTTTTTGTAGTAAATAGAAGAAATCAATTTCAAAAACGCTTTTTTTTGTTCAATTGAGAAATTTCTTTCTCAATTTTAACCTTTTTCATATCTTTTCTCTTTGCAAATACAAACGAAAAAACGCGCGTCCTCCACATTTTGCACGCATAGCAAAGAAAATTGGCGCAAAAATGTTCGGCACAAAGAATACGCATTGAAATAAAGAATTGCTCTCACATGATTACACGAATTTTCTCTATCATTAATTTAATTGTCTCGGAGGGGGCGGAGACGCTCATTGTGAGGATGATTTCCTTCATGAGTGACAGAGATACGCAGAGTGTGCGGAGGTAGAGTCAAATGGATGAAAAGGTGTGTGAGAGAATTATAATGCAAAAATTTCCACCCAACTTTGTCTAGTGCTGGATTTCCTCTCCACACCTCATCACATCGCTGATTGATGTGATTTCCCTCGCACCCAAATTCTCCTTCACTCCCACGGGCTCTCGAGAGGCGGCGGGAGAGTCCTCGAAATAAGAATACACACACACACACACAGGAAAGAAAATCTCACATCGCATGTGTCTCTCCTCCATATTTTCATTTTCACTCCATGTTTATCTAATAAGCCAAAATGTTTGTGCTTTCTCGGAAAGCTTCCTGCATAGTCCGACCACTCTCCGTCACATCCCAACGTGCTGCGGTGAAATTTGACTAGTGGATGGCCTAACTCCACTGCCACCTCCACCGCCCCCGCCGGAGTCCTCCTCCTCGTCATCCTCGCCGCCCTCATTGTCGGAACCCTCCTCTAGAGTCACCTGCGGGTGGGACGAAAGGAAAACATTCAGAACTGTGGCACTCCACTCAGTCATAAAGCAGGGAAAATGGGCAGACGCTCACGTGGCGATACTTAGGATTGAACTAGGATTTCACATTAGAGTCAAAAACCATCCAGATCCTAGACATTGAGCATAAAAAACTACATGTGATGTTGGAAAACTAAAATATGTTTCTAATGCTCTTTGCAGAATTATTTAAATTTAAATATTTGACGATTCAAAGTTCGTGAAGCAAGAAAGATAATTAAAGCCTGACAGGAATAAGAACAAAAAACTTTTTGACTGAAAATATACTTAATTTTCCAAGTATTTTCTTATAAAATACCTCCACGAATAAAGCATTTCATTATATCTGAATATTCTCAAGACGAAGTAAAACCATTTTCTCCGAAATCGATTGTTCACAAATTTGTCGGTCCCAAAGAGTTAATGCCTTTAATAATTACCGAAAATTGGTACTGTATTGATTAAGCCCTTGCGCGAAATGGAAAGTTCAAACAATTTGTGCGAATTTCGTGGAGAATTTCCAAATAAGCATTGCAAATAAATGGGCATTGATATTTACATAACAGGAGATTTACATTTCACCTTTTAATTAAGAGCCCGAGAGTCAATTTGAACATGAAAACGGCATTTTCCGAAAAACCGATATTTAATCCTGATGAGATTAGCGGAAATACATTGAGAGAGTGTTCTAAGAAAAGGCACAAGGAAAGATGAAAAATTTATGCCACGTCACGACTAATAAGAAAGGTAAATAAAATGTAATTTATAGTCGCGCATAAAGCAATTAAATCACTTGGTTGATTTACATTGGATTTTCCTCCCACGAGAAAGTATCAGATTAAAGAATCCGAGAAAAGAGCGAAACACTGTAGTTCCTCGGGGAATTATTCACGAGTCTTCAATCATCATTCCTGCAAAGTGTCTTTGAGCAATGGAAGTTGTGCAATGCGCTTAGATCAATTCGCGGAGTATAATTCTGTATCGATTTAATTTTGCTGGCAACTACATCCAATTAAATTGCGATCAATTTATTGGAGAAAAATGTCGTTTTAATAGCGCAAAAGAAGACCGATGAGTTTGCAAATTAATTTCAAGATTGCATACCTGGAAGCGAATCTTGTCGTCACCTTCAATGTCGTCTGATTGCGGTGGGGATGGCGGGATCATGCTCTGGTAGTAGTCGCGATTCTCCTCGAGTGTGTCGAGAATCTCCTGGGCATCGGGATGCACGAGGTCACCCCACGTCTCCCACAGCGGGTGCACGATGTAGTCGATGAAGCCCACCTGGGACTTCTCCACCGTGGCGTTGTGGCGATCGCACATCGGGCTGATGTCCATGCCGCTGGCCCGCTCCTTGTCACCCTGCAGGAAGAACTCCTCCATGAGGAGCGCCACCCAGCGCTTGTACAGCGGCAGGGGCTTCGTGGGATTGCTCAGGTCGGCGCAGTGCACCAAGTTTTCCAGCACCTGTATCCGGTCTGTGTAGTTATCCAGGAGCAGCACGCCGCTGCCGGCCACCTTCTTCGTCTCCGTCATTGTCTTCAGGTCAGCCAGCAAGCTCATGTGCTTGGACATGTCCGTCGATAGCACTATATCAATCACCATTTTCCTCAACGTCTGACGTTGCTTTCTGCAAAGAGACAAATTACATTCAGATAGGCTCCGCTTATCAGTGTAATTAAAGTAGAATTAGTTGCATAATCTAAGCCGATTAAGTCCCACTATTGCCATTCGCTCTATCTCGAAATAAAATTATCACAATTATCTTGAAATTGTTTCTTAGAATCGAGAGCGTCTCCATTTTTGTCCCAGAAAGCATTAATTGACGACTTTCCACCTTCCTCAAACTCTCATACTTTGATAGAAGGTACAAAATAAGAAACAATCACTCAAGATCAGTGACAGAAATGACAGTGAAAAGTAACCCTGGGAAAAAGAGGGTTAATTATCCCCCATATATCTCTTATACACATTATAACTTTTCCATGAGTCACATATGGGAAAAGTTTGCCATCCTGTTCACACATTTTCAGTCCTTTTGGTGGGAGTATCTGTTGCTGACTACAGGAAATGGGATAAATTCCCCATCTCCTCGCAAATTGGAGAAAATACGGAGTGAAAAGTATAGAAAATTAGTCTTTGAAGCCCCACAACCAACCTTTCACACCCTCATGGGGAAAATGTCCTGATTTTTCCTCCCTCCCACCACATCTTCGGGCGGGTCGAGCAGAAAAATCAGATTTCATTGGAAAGTTTGTCACTCGGGGACATCACATTGATTTTGGGGACGAAAACGATTTTCTTAGTTGGTGGGACGCGCAATATTCAACAAGTCGATTTTAGGGAACAAATTCAATTTACACCCACATTATCTAAAAGATTGTCTTGCGAGAGGCAGCTTTTTGCCGCTTATTGCGTGATTGATGGGGACAAAGGGAGAAGAAAAAAATACAGAAATTGTGGGAAAGTTATGAAGGAATATAATCTGAAGATGCGAATTGAGCACGTTTCAGTATTGAAAATTTAATTCCGTTAATTCACAGAAAATAATTAATCACAGCTTGGATTGAATTTCCCAGACGTTTCACGTACTTTGCGTACATCTTGTACTATCTCATGTCTCCATACAATATCGATTTAATTCTCTAACGACAGCGAAATATTCATACATTGCAAAAGTTTGCGACTATATAAGCAATCTTCTCATATTGATTATAAATAGATGAGATAAACTTTAAAGATTAAACTACTCCCGAGAGCACGTCAATCACGACGTGTGAGATGGGAAAAACTTCTCTTTGAGCACAAACATTTGTCTCAAACTTTGATAGAATATTAAGTATGAATTTTAAAATTTTAACAGCCACTTTCCATCACAAACTTGATGGATTAGTCGTCTGCCAATGTAAAATTCATCACAAACAATTTCATTTCCCTCTCTTGACATTCTCGTGTGAAATAAAAACATCTTGCCCCACCCAATTTAAGACACTTTTCCCCTTCGCCCACACCATTCGGGCTAAATATGAGAAGAAAATTGCTGTGTGGGAATTTACAATGAAGGAGCTAATTGGCAATTGCGGGGAACGTGAACCCCAACGCAAAGTGCTTCAAGTGTATGTTCTCGGTTCATTCCAGGACGTATGCGGCAATAATTAAAAGTGCATTCACAATTCACTCCTTCAGTGGGCCTGTAATTACATTATTTATGGGCGTACTCACTTTTGCATATTACAGAAGATATCACATCCTTGATTTTGAAGTAATTTGAAGGCAACAGCTAAATGATGATTTTCCAGCACCGATTCATCATTGTACATTAATGCTAATTCCGAACTAGTGTTGATGAGAAACTGATTGGTGAGTCCAGGGTGATCGACGTCGTGGATGCAGGCGGCAAAGAGGGCGCCGCACACCTCGAGGGGCGTGAAGACACTCTCGAGGGCCGGCGTGTTGAGGAGGACGTTGGTACTTTGGGTCACATCGGCGGCATGGAGTGAGTTGTGAAATGGATTGTCCTTTACGTAGTGATCCTCCAGCGTCACCATGAATGCGATTAGTGTTTTCGGTGGTATCATCAGGGCGCTGAGGAGGTCTCGTGACGAGAACACGGAGTACGCGACGCACGTGAGGGGGCGGTTGCACGTGAGATCGCCAATGCGGAAGATATCGATGCCCCAGGTGTCCAGGTCACCCAGCAGGGTGCTCAGTTGCGCCTCGTGTGGCGTCTCCACACCGAACGTCGGCAGGCGTTCACCAGTGAAGGAGTTGGTGTGCGACAGCGGTCGTCGTACGCCCGAAATCTGTGACATTGGCGGCCCCCCGAAGCGCGGCGATCTGCTGCGCGGATGGGAAGCTGACGTGATGTTGGCCACCTCATTCTCGTCGATGCGCAGCGATGGCAAATCAAACTCCTGTTGTTTGTCTGCAAAGAGGATCATTTGACATTTTTCATTAAATGCCGGAGCGTAAAGTCCACAACAATGGACAATGTAAGCCTCGCATTTGAGGAGAAACTAAACCCACCCCGTTTTGGCACAATGAATAATTATTTCTTTCTTTCAGGGCCACAAATTCATATACATCAGGTTTTGTGTGTGTGTATGAGGAAAACTGTTTCCACTTCGTCACTTCCATCTTTTGTGCATGAAATAATATGTAATGTCCCATCTTTCCCTCAAATGTAATAAATTTCCATTACAAAACCGTATGATTTATGTATTTTCCTTTGTTCCTTATGCAAGCTAAAGGACTATAATCCAATATAGCGAAATTTAGTGAAACTGCAAAGGCGTGAGCATGCATAAGAAAAAACTTAAAGCTTTCTGTTTCACTTTCGTCACAACGGCGTGAAAATAATCCTTTGACTCGCTTTAAGTAAATCCCTTGCTGGAGCGAAAGGCAAGGAATCCGTGTGGAAGACTTGTTGAAAATCATCCCTTTAACTTTACCATTTTGCCAGATAATTATAATTCAAGTGAGTTTGCTCTTGAACAATGGAGGAAAAAGTGGTTATTCTTCCTCGGGAATTAAACGTCGAAACAGATGGAAATTGTAGAGGATTATCCCAAATAATGTGCAATTAAATTTCAACACCACACACACACACACAGCACAGCACAGCGAAGGATATTACTCCAAATTTGTGTATGGCACTCAAAAGGAAGTGAGAGAAATTAGCATCTCCTGTGAAGTGGACTCGGTATGAATGAAATATTCGTCCCCTTATGAATTTGAAATGAACTTTCCAAGGCTTGAGTGGCGTTGTTGCTGACCTGATGGTAATCAGATTTAAGTTCTCAAAACCACACGTGCTTTTCACACTAAAAGCTTCTCTCCCACCCTCTCATGCTGACGCACAAGAAGTTTGAGTTGTGAAATAGTGAGGAAAAGAATACGTTTCCAGTTAAGCGATCATGAATGATTAAGAAAGCTCTCTGTTGTTTTCTCCCCCCGGAGGGAAAACTTTTCCATCTCAATGCGTTGGAAAATAAGGTGGAAAGTAAGGTAAGAACTAAAACATCCCGAAGTCAGGAATATTTTGCCCATAACTTAAGTTATTTTATGCAACTTTTCACTGGACTTTTGTAATCTCTCAACTTTCTAGTAAATTAGAAACTTTTATGCGTTGTGTGTAAATGATTTTCCTCATTACATGCAAATTTTATTTTTTATTGCCTCATCTTTCCTTGCTAAATGCAAATCGGCCCCATTAAGCAAAAGGTATAACACAAATGGGAAATATAAAATAGTGCGAATGCCGTAATGAAAGCTGGATTTCTCCCTGTAGGAGCTTTTACTCTCCACAAGTTTGTTGTGCGCTTTCAATACTCAGCTTTTCGGCTTATCATCACAATAGAGCTTTTATTGTAATGAGAATTTCTGAAGTGAGTGAAATAGCACAAAAGCTGCTCCTGCAGATCAAGAGATTTCATTGTGAGATGCACCTTCCATTTGGACAATTAATAGTCTTCCAAAATGTTTCTCATATCATATGCTTTACGCGACCTGAATGTGTATAACAATCAAATAATGCATATAACTAGGATGGAAAGGAGCCACATTGCCACAATAAGTTAATTCTAATTCATTTCCACCCTGAATATTTATCAGGGGTCGCCAAATCGTTCGCAGCGCGCAATGAGTGAAAATTACCTAACGCTGAGCATTTCGGCGAGCAAAGTGTGAATTTTTAATCAATTAAATGGCAAAGAAGGACTTTCTTGGGACGCCTCTGAAATTCTTAATGAGATTTTCCATTCAACGAGAGTGTATGTTTATATCGTGGAAATTCAATAAACTTTATGAGACTCACCCAAAAACGTCGAACAGATGTATTCGGAAATTTGATTGCCGGATCGACTGGATTCACTGAAGTGTGACAATTCCTTGTTCAGCATTCGCTTGAACTGAAATGGAAGACATTGAGAGATGTGAGCATTAATTGAAATTCTGGCAATAAAAAGAGACTTCTGTACCTTCAGTGACGCCATGTCCGAGACACTTCGGTGAGTCTGGATGGTCTCCAGTTGATCCAGACACCAGTCCAGCTCCTCCATCGTGTCATGGGCCAAGCGGACGTATGCCTCATCTCCGGGCACCAGAGGCTTCGGCAGCGGGGCATTCGTTTGGCGTTTCGATCTGCAACGGCATGGTTGGCATCACAAGAGAGAAAGGATCGACTGCAAATGATTCACTTACTTGCTCGTGTTGACATTTGTTAAATTCAGAAAATTAATCCGCACAGATCGAAGACTGGCCAGAATCTGAGCAAATGGTGTCACTATCAAATCTTCGCCATGACTGAAAGAACGAAGGAAGAGCCCATTAGTGAAATCAATGAGGCCAGTTTTCGCTCCTTCTTCTTCCTCTTCTTGAGAGTGCTGAAGAGGAATTTTATTGATCAGCCACACTCCCCCTCTCGGTTTGTAAAGCAGCCCAATTGTTGCCTCTCGTTTACTGTATCACCACCAAACATAATGTAGCAGCCAAAAGAGGGGGGCTGTTTCTTCACTCAAAGTGTATAACAAGAAAGCAAAAGTTAAATCAATCAATATTTAAAAGAAAAGCTACTCTATATTATCGTAATTTCAAACAAGGCAAAACAAGATGACATGGAGTGATTTTGTTTGGAAAATATAAGGTAAAATTGTGTGTCGCAATCTCTCTGATAAGAGGTTGTGGGAATTCTAAATTTTCAATAATTCTCTGCATTGCAATACAGCCGCTCTACGCATGATTGGTGGTGCGTGTTGGGATAATAAAAAAGAAGCCACGAAGCTGTAGAGAGGTGATAGAGAGAGATGTAATGCCAACAAACACAGAAAGCATTTGAACCAACAGAGAACATTCTAAGAAGTGTGTAACAGATGGGTGTATATTGTTGTGTATGTGACTAAAAGCCAGGATAACAAAGCTTCAAGAAAGTACAAATTGCTTCGCACGAAAAGCCAAAGCTGAAATGGAAATTTATGAGTTTCGAGACTCTCTAATTACCCAAAGAAGCTGCAAAAGAGAAATTGCTCAGAACGAGGGATATGAAAGTTTCCTCTGCGAAAGGACAAAAAGGTAATTTCGATGACAAGGAGTGTTATTGGGCAATGGATGGAGGAAGCACAACTTTTTCTCAATTCTATGAAGTAGAAAAAAAACTTGGATACAGCTTTGTATTTCCCACCGCAGCAATTCCCATCAAGATAACACCGCATTCACTGTACTGATCTTAAAAATTGATCTAAATCACATGAAATAGTTGGGAGAAAAGCGAAGGAAATCATAGGTGAACAAGGCAATTTCACACTCTTAATGAATTTAATATCACAAGAGCAATTTTTTTGTGTTCACGGAGGAAGAAAGAGTGTGTGTGTGTGGATAAATTACTTTGTTATGTGATTCACTTTTCTCTATCAGTTGCTACAAATTCTTATTTATTATGCATTTTCGTGCAGTATAATAAGACAAAGGTTCATTTACCGACGAAACATTGTGTGCGGCTCTATACATTTGCTCTTGATGTTCCCCACTTTGGCAATTTTTTTTTACTAAAACTGCATATCAAAAAATCAAAAAACTCGTTACGACGCGCCCTCAAATAAACCAACTTCAAAGAACTTCACCATCAGGAAACTTATAAAACTCATTTCATTACGTGCACTCTGAAACACTAATAGTCAATTTTTGCATCACTATTTTCTAAACGATTCAAAAAATGCATTTTTAACGAACAAAAACCCAGGAATTTTTTTCTCGAATGTGCAGAAAAAAACGCACGATGCTCTTCGCAAACAATTCTTATGATACACTGACTGCATTTCGAGGAGAATCGTAGTATTTGAGGAATTGTATCGCAACAATTATCATTGATAATATAATCGTTGTCTGGTGCGCTTCAATACAATATACATAGAATTTCCCTCGCAATTTCAACAGACTAACAAGTGAGTCTGTGTAAGAATAAACTATCAATACACATCAAAATATTAAGGATATAACAATAATTTAATTCGAAATATATGAAAAATTCACAACCGTACAATATTTATGGCGTTTTTGGACAAATTCGCTTCTCAAATTCATTTTTATTTACTTCAAAGGAAGAAGAAAGAGAGAGATTTTTCAATGTGTGTGATAAAATGTAGGAAAACAATGAGGCATTTAAACAGCAACTAATAGAACAAATCATTCTTCAATACCTATACATTCATACATATATAGAAAAAAATAAAACGCATACAGAGCAAGAACCCAATAGATTGGGTTACAGAGAGATAGGAAAAGCTCAAAAACAATTAAACGTTCTATCAAATTTATTGGATCCGTTCCTATATATTCCGTCTATTTCATGTGGTGCAATTTTTCTCTGGCATGTTTTTGCTGTTTAGCTGTTACACAATGCAACGGAAAGCTTTTTTCAAAGTACATAATATACGAATAAATATCGGTGCGTCGGAGTCTGTGGAAATGATTTGAAACTGTGTTCAGAGGCGTGAATTGGAGAACAAAGTGTAGAAAAGGTGAAAAGAATCACGCTACAAAATTTTTTCTAAAAATCTCTCAGCCGACTGATTTATATTGAATTGAAAAGAAATATCATTTTGTCGGTGTTATTGGCTAAAAATACAAATGCTAAAAAACGAAAAAATATATATCTTTGTGTGTTGCAAAAAAGCAGATCTCGATTACAAAGAAACAAAAATGTACGTGAACAGATATGTTGTGTGCAGATGTAATGTGAGAACTTATATAAGGAGCAGAAAACCAAGATATTCATATTTGAATTTAGTGAAAATGAAAAAGTTCACAAAAAAAAACTTCTAATTAATTAGCTCTTATTGCTGTACAAGTCATTGTTTTAGGAGAATTCTTATTCAATTGAGCATAAACAAGAAACGCAATGGAAAAATAATGTGAGATGAAATCAAAATCAAAATACGTACGCTCTTTCCATTAAAACTGGCGGCTCTGTTTCTTTGAACCTGAAATTATATATCGTGTCTTGTCTTAATGTTCAATTCCATGTTTTCTTCCCTTCAACTACAAAAACATTAGTACTGTCTTTTAGGAGAAAAATTTTGGCGTCGCCAATTTCGTTCTCTATCCACTGGTTTTATGCTTACGGCGTCATATGCATGATACTTCTGCATATGAAACTCAATAGTAGAGTGTGAAAATATGTTAAGAAGGTACACACAAGTATAAAAAGGATGGTATTTTGAAGCATTGACTGTGGATTGCGTATAATGTATTTTATCACGTTTTCCACTCGATACATCTAACAGCATTTTATAAGGAGTACACAAAGTGTTAAGATTTACACTTTAGAAGGAAAAGAGACTATAGCACTTCCCCTACACGAAAGCTCATGGACAAAGCTTGAAAAGAGAGTTTCATAAAGAGAGAGTATCTGTCCACCACTTTTTCTACACGGCTATTGAGGTTTGCATTATATTTCCTACATGGGCAGGATGGAAGTAATGAGAGAAGGTATTAAAAGATTGTTAGGGGAGCTTTGTCTCTCTTGTCCCTATGTGGGCAGAAAAGTACCCACAAAGTGGCGGAGAAATATGAATCCAGAGTGTCTCTGTGGAACCGGTGTGGAAGATTATTTTTAATTACATCACGTCCACAAATATTTGTTCCGTCCTTATTATTTTTAAAAAATCTCATCTCCGTCATTTTTCAACTATTCTTCTGGAAAAGCTCTTTTTTTTTATATGTATAGCACACAAATATATTTGGTAAAGTGCCTTACCTCTCGCTCGCAATGCTGGAATTGCGCGACATGGATTTCGGTGACATCTCAAAGTCTGAATCGGATCGATACAGGAAGGATTCACGTCGCTGTGGTAAATTCTGCAGGACGAGTCCTGCACTTGGTGATCCACCCTCCAGGGGTGATCGTGCGCCCTGACCATTCTCCACATCGAAACTGCAAAGACAAACAGGACAGAATGACAATAAGCGGAAGTTGCACATGAATATGCTCACAATGGCGTGTTTTCCATCAATTTCGAATTTATTGAGGTAATTGCATTTCTGCATTATTCGAGAAGCTAATCAATCTCATTCTTATCGCTGTCCTCCTTTTCCCAATCTCCACCACCACCGCGCCCCATGCCAATAACAGTGTGGGGGCAATAACAATGGGAGAGTTCATTTCCCCCTCATCGAAGAGTCAAACCACAAAGAATCCCTCTACGTCATCTCATTCACCGCACAAAGTACACATTATGAGACCGAATGTTATCGATCAGGAAGTTTTAGACAGGGAGCAGGGCAGAAAAGAAACAAGACACATTTCACAATGCTGATGGAAACTGGATAGGTATTATTTGAAATTGGGTGAAATTGATGGGAAAAAAGTCGATTGTTTTGTTGATATTCAGAGAAAATAAGGATGAATATTGTCTCAAACACACAATTTCCTTCTTTGACTAATTTATCTGACAATCAGTAAGCATGTACACATGTCAATATAATCCTCTGTGGTAAATTCAATTTAAATTTCCAATTAACCTGTTGAATATCAAATTAAGATGCGTCTATTGAACAGTTTCACACTACAGCAAACAATGTCAATATTTAACTTAAATTTTCCAGAAAACCTTTAAAAATCATTTTATCAGCAACACAATGCGCGACAACATTTCTTTAAAACATCTTTCTGTGCAAGGGAAATAAGGTAAATCAGAAACTGATTTGCATTACTGATTACAGAAGGAGTAAATAGACATTCGAGAAAGCACATCCAGAAAATGAGATTTCAACCGCAACGCAATCGAACACCATCCCACTGCCCATTGGAGGAAAAGCTCATTCTCGCAGGCGCTTCTCATACATTTCTATGCTTCACCGTGTACCTTCTGCATTGCTGAATATATGTATAGACGGCGTGATTCTACCTGTGCCATTTTGAGTTTGCATAGTGAATTCTATTAGTAGAATCACTGCTATATATGCATAAAGTACGGGTGAACAAATTCAAGCGAATACGTATAGAGAAATATACATTGTTTGGAATCCAAATAATGCGTAGAGATGAAAATTCAAGCACACATCTTATGCAAATAGTGAATGTGAATATTGCTTAAATAAATACAACGTGACGCTGGAGCCACAAAACCATGCATCGTTTACCAATTTCACACTCAAATTACAACTGAATACTAGCATATACCAGAAAAAAAGTGCAGGACACCGTTCGATTTACTGCGATCAAAATTGTTTTTCAGATACATTATATGCTCTACTCGCACTATATAAATAAATAAATAAATAAATAAATAAATACGCCTATGACGAGCAGCAATATAAATCAACTGTTCCAACAACCACGTGACGACTATTCGCTGCAAGATAAATGCAAATTGCAGTTAAATGCCAATTACATACGAGATATTTTATTGAGAGTGCGCAATTAATCGCGAACATCCACCACTTTTCATCTAACTCCTTCCCATCAACCACACACTATATGTATGCATAATTGGCTGGAGAAAGAGAAGCAGCAGAGCATCAATTACAAAATAGCTCTCAGCGAAGTTGGTGAGTGTCATAGGAAAACATTCGCGAATGCGAAATGGTTGGTTGATATTCAATATCCGCTATATTTCTTCGAATACTGCGCTTGATTCTGTGAAAATAGGGCTCTTTCAGAATCAATCAACAGTGCTATTGGAAAGCTATTACACGCTTTTCCACTATGTGAAAAGGGGAGAAAATAAAGTATTGAATCATTTTGCAGCTGAGCCACACAGAAAACGATGAAAATATTTTGAAAATGTATTTTCACTTCTACGACATTTTCACATATAAAATATTTTTATACCACAGCAGGGAACTTTTCAATTACTTCGTAAATACAAAGCTTTGACTACAGATAGTATATGGTATAAAATGGAAATTAAATTTCGACTGATGATAACTATTGTCATTGTCAATGCTTTCCTCCATTCTCCAAAACTGCAAAATAATTCGCTATGCTATGTACAATATTTTTACTTATAAATGAAACAGCAATTTATTGTTTAAAACTCTCTATTTCACTGTAAGAACGCAAGTAGGAGTTTTCTTTTGGGTATGTGCAGCTTGTGCACATGATATGTGTGAGAAGTGTGGAAATCTATGCAGTAAGTCAGTACCTTCCGGTGGTGCGACGGCGCCCACCAGGCGCCGCCACGGTGCGCGGTCCGTATCGCCGGATACGTCCGCTGGAGCGTCGGTTGCCCACAACGCGGGCGCCCTCGGAGCTGCGACGCCCATCGGGCGGCAGAAGTACCTCCGAGGCCCCGCTCGTGGAGACCGTGGATGCCGTAGAGTCCCCGCGTCGCGAGAAGGACAGCGTTGCCCCGCTGGCCGTCGTGACGGTGGAGTCGCTACGCGAGAACTGCGTGTCGGACGTCGTGCTTTGCTGACGCAACGTCCGGCCAGTGGTCACGGATGACTGACGTCGCGCCGCCGTCTGGCCACTCGGTGCCGTAGACAGCGACGATGAGGAAGACGTCGTGTCGGCCACAGGACTGCAGTTGGCCGCCAAGGCCGCGGTGGGTGACTGTGGCATGTCAATGGGGGGCAGCATGGCCCCGCGGGCCTCGCGTCTCACACCTAATCGACCCAATGCGCGCACCAGAGCAAATAGTACGAAGAACGTTGCAATCATATCACAGCCACATCCTTTGGAATTGTTCCACTTAATTCGCCACAGAGGTTTTGCAGACACACTTCTGTCGCGAGAGTCTCTTATCACTTATCCTTCTGTCTTCTTTTGTGCAGTCACGTCAAGAAAAATCGACTCCTCTCAAAGGTCTTTTGATCTCTATATGAGAGATACACTTTCAATGTATTCAGTTGCATTTTTTGACTTGTTATTTCACACATGTCAAGCGACTGTGCTGATAAGAAAAACTGTAGTTTCGAACTTGTTAGCAATTTGGAGGATTTGCCCTCTGAACTCACTCCCCTTTACCGATTGAGTGGGTGGAAATGCATTCCCACACTCTAACTGCGCCATTCAATGGAGATATTCCATTTCGTTGTACGATGAAGAAACCAATGAATATAAATTTCACACTTGATTGCTTTCTCACCCGCAACACAGGGTGTATGAAGTGGAATACCCTGAAGTGCGTGGTTAGAGAGCGAGGTGATTTTGCTTCAATGCATTTCGGGTTCAGTGCTTCTTTGAGTGATCATAAAAGCTCATCAAATGCAATATTCAGAGCATCTTGAGACAATATCGTAGAATTACTCGCCATCTCTGGACTTAATAAGGAAGAAACGTACCTCTCATACCCAGAATTCCCACATAATCTCATCTACGTTCAGCAAACTTCGTCATCCAGTAAAAAATCTATAGCAATTTCATTTCATTGCAATTTATCCAAGTTTCTTGGCTCTTGATTTTGATTAAGAATTCCCAGTTATTACAGAAATGTGTGCTTATGTAATTGACATGATTCACGGAATTTCCCTAACAGATGAACACCCTTAAATTTAACCTCTCTCTCTCTCTCTCTCACACCCCGATACCAAAGGGAATGTGCTCCGTGGGGATATTCTCATTGTGCTGCTGAGCATATTTATTGGTATGCAACCCGCTAGGCGTTGCTATCCTTTGCACGCATTCGACGAAATATATTTATGGTAGCCATGTATGAATTTGACGTCACCAGAGATTTAATATCAAATCAGATGATAACTCGAGTGTATAAATTTGTCGCTTGTTGGAATTTGATACACGTCGCTGGATATGGGTTCATCGGCAATATATCTCTGCCTATGAATGATTAGGAGGAACGCTGAGACGAGTGGAAAAAATACAAATTTATAGCAATTCCAAAAAATATGCCAGAAAAGCGCACACGCTCGAATTAACTCTCAAATATGCAAAATTCAATTTTTACACAGTCAAAGTGGATTTTATTAATTCGCTCTCAATGCAAATGGTAGTTTCAGAATTTTTAAATCATTTAATAGCGCTTCGAATCAATAGCGATTAGCAGAATTGGCAACAGGTTGGATAAAAAGTACATGGAACTCTTTATTGTCATTCATTACGTTTGTATGAGAGCCGGTATTCAAATATAATTTCTTTCCTCTGTAAATACGTTAAATATTTTATGCGAAGAAACGAAATTTTTCGGGAAACCCCAAAAAAATGCAAATTAAATAAGATTCATTAGCCAAAATGGATAGGCAACAGACATAAAAGCCTTTTCTGTTTGGGGAATGTTCCCAAAAAAAAATTCGTTCACAACAAGAAGAGAAAAACGCAATACAATTTGAAGATAGGACAGAGAATTCAATTTAAACTGAATACACCTCCATTACACGTTTTCAGCATTTATATATTTTTCCCGCGACGCAATGAAGAATGTGCAAAAGACGGAGGCTAAAGGGTTGAACAGAGTGTATGGATATGGAATTGAACCCAAAAGAGCTCACATAAACTCCGTTCGTGTCTCACGTGGAAAATTTATTCATCAATTTCTATGGCTTTCGAAAAAAAGATGACAGAATTGCAGGGAAATTCCCATTTTCATCACACAAATGTTACGTCTGTCCAAGGCATTGTGCGGAAAATCGATCGTACATGGAGGAACCACTTGTAGACTCCTCGAGAACCAGACGCATTATTTGGGAGTTCTTCTCGTGGAAATTGAAAATTCTACACTCACAGCAAGTGTGAGCTTTGTGGATAAGTGTCTGGACGATAATAATCAATAACCAAACGGAATAAGAATAGGATACTAGGAATATCCTTTACCTTACTCACAAGGAAGCCCAATTGAATCTGGGATTGTGACTTTTGGGGGTGAAATGAGCAATTTCCGGTCAACCGGAGAATAATCGAGTGAGTCAGTCAGTATTGAGAGCCAATACACTGCCTCAATATTCGTCAATTTGTCATTGGCACTCTCGTAACGCTTG